TTAGGTCCCCTTGGAGTCTATGCCTTGTGTTCCTGCCCCCTTCAGTGGCCCTCCCTTTCCCCTCTCCGCCCTGCCTGTGTGACTCGCCCTTGTCAACTCTGCTGAATGTCTTGACTGCCCACTGACCAGCTCTGCGTGTGCCCCTTGCAGGTGGAGGGGAGGGGCGGGGGTCAACACCGACGCTTCCTCACGCCCCTCCCCTGTGGCTGTACAGGTACCCGTGGGGATGGGAGGGAGGCAGCACTGCCAGTCGTTGCCACAAGGGAGAGTATCGGGGTGGGCTTGGCCTCTCAAGGTACGTCTGCCTCTCTCCTGCCCTCATCCCTCTACCTTTCTGCTCTTCAATTCCGCCTTCTCGTTTTCCTCACCTTTAGTTTGTTATCTTGCCTATCATGCCAACTCACTCGCTCTTACTTCCCCACTTTCTTCCCCCCTTACCAAGTCACTTGGCATCGAGTGAAGACTGCAGTGGTGCTTCAGCTACCCTCTGCTCGCTCTCAAACAATCAGCTAAGTGTCCCTTCCTCCATGCCCTCGCCCTTGCTGCTGCCATTTCGTTTGTCGCATCTGCTTTCGCACCCTTCCTCTTGAAGCAGTGCCACTGGTGAGGTCCGCCTCACATGCCACAGACCCCCCAACTCCAGGTAACCCCTCAGGTGTAGATCAGGTGTAGGTAACCCCTTCAGGTGCAGGTAACCCCTTCAGGTGCAGGTAACCCATTCAGGTGCAGGTAACCCCTTCAGGTGCAGGTAACTCATTCAGGTGCAGGTAACCCTTTCAGGTGCAGGTAACCCATTCAGGTGCAGGTAACCCTTTCAGGTGCAGGTAACCCCTTCAGGTGCAGGTACCCTTTCAGGTTCACCCCTTGGGGTCTGTGCTTTGTGGCTTGGCCTCCACCAGTGGCCCCTCCCTGCTCTCGCCTTGCAATCTCTCTTCTCGCTCTTGCACTCTCACCATTCCTCCCCTCGCTGCCCACTGACCAGCTCTGCGTGTGCCTTGCAGGTGGGGGGAGGGGCGGGGGTCAACACTGACGCTCCCTCACGCCCCTCCCGGGTGGCCGTGCAGGTACCCGTGGTGATGGGAGGGAGGCAGCACTGCCAGTCGCTGCCACAAGGAAGAGTATCGGGTTGGGCTTGGCCTCTCAAGGTACGTCACCTGCCCTCTTGCCCTCGTCTCTCTCTCTTTCTGTTCTTCAGTTTTGCCTTGTCAATTTCATCAACTTCAGTTTTGTTAGTCAATTTCATCAACTTCAGTTTTGTTTTTCCTTCTCTGGTCCAACCAACTCACTTGCTTTTACTTCCCCCCTTTCGTCTGCCTCCTCCCCCCTCGCCTGTGGCCGTGCATGTGCCTGTCTGTGGGGATGGGAGGGGGCCAGCTCTGCCAGTCGCTGCCATAAGGGAGAGTATCGGGTTGGGCTTGGCCTCTCAAGGTACGGCGCCTCCCCTTTTGCCCTCAACCCTCTCTTTTTCTGCTCTGTAGTTGCGCCTTCTCTTTCTCGTCAACTTCAGGTCATTGATTTCTCTAGTCCAGCCTATTCACTTTCTTTTACTTTCCCCCTATTCTTCTGCCCCCACACCTGCAGGCCACTGTGCATCGAGAGAAGCTGAGTAGCAGACCGGCAGCAGCAGTTGTAGTAGCAGAAGCGGCGGCAGCAGCAGCAGCAGTGGGGGGTGGGGGGTTAGAGGCGGGCTAGGTTAGGTTTAGTCGTGAGCGAGGTGTGGTATGGTATCAGGTAAGGTATGGTAACAGGTTTGGTATGGAGATCTGATCCCCTCCTCTCTTTCTTCCTTCCCACCCCTCTTTGCAGCCTGAGTATGGAGGGAGCACTGGAACAAGGGCGGGACAGAGGCATCTCCTTTTCATCCTCACCTTCCCCTTCTCCCTCCCGCTGCCCCCCTCCCCACATTTCAGCACGGTCGATGCAGCCTGAGGGAGAGAGGGATCAAGGGCGGGACAGAGCCATCGCACTAACCCCCCCCCTCCCCCCCCTCCTCCCTCCCCACTTCCCAACACCCTGAGGCAACATGGCGCTCTGCATGGGTGTGGTAGGAAGAGGAAAGAGGCATGGGGTGAAGGGGAGAGTGGGGAGGCGGTGGGAAGCATGGGAGCAAGTGGGCAGGTCACTCTCTCAGGGGCAGCATCCTCTAGGGATGTGCCTTGCGGGTCGGGGTGTGGTGGGTGGAATCTGCGCGGCACGGCACTCGGTGCTCAAGTAACTAACCTGACGTTAAGGCTTAATGGGCACCGTCAGAGTCGACCGGCCGGCGACTCTGGTTCGCGTCAGCTCTAGCTACGTCAGGGGCAGGATTTGAGTCTTGGGCTGGAAGCAATTTTCCACTACCACACCTCGCCCTTCAAGGCACAGCTCCTGGGGGTGCTGTTTCCGAAGGGGAGTGGGCTGTCTGCTGCTCCTACTGCTGGCAGGTATGGAGGGGAGGGGTTGGGTGGGTTGGGTGGTGATGGTGGTGATGGGGTGATGGTGGTGATGGGGTGATGGTGGTGATGGGGTGATGGTGGTGAGAGGCAGTGGGGTTGGCGATGGCATATGATGAGCCGTATGGCACTGATGACACCCTTAAGCATGGAAGCATGATGCTCATGCTTGGCTGGTTGGGGGCACATGATGAGTTGCACTGATGCCACGCGTGCATGGAAGCGTGATGCTCGTGAGTGGGTGAAAGGGGCTGAGTCCCCTTGGGTGGGTGAGAGCAAGTGAAAGGGGCTGAGTCCCCTTGGGTGGGTGAGAGCAAGTGAAAGGGGCTGAGTCCCCTTGGGTGGCACATGATGGGCCGTATGGCACTGATGCCACTTGTTGCATGAGAGGTCATGGCTGTGAGAGTGAGTGGTGAAACTGAGTGTGCAAGTGGTTGGTGAGTGTGGGTGAATGAGTGAGTGGTGGTGGTGAGGCTGGGTATTGAGAGGGTGAGTGGTGAGAGTAATTGCGAAAGTGGTGAGAGGGAGTGAGTGGTGAGTGTAATTGCGAGAGTGGTGAGAGTAAGAGGTGGCAGTGGTGAGTGTAAGTGTGTGGTGGTAGGGAGTTGTGAGAGAGTGTGAGCAACGGGATTCAAATGTTCAGCTTCATGATGTCAGTGCGTGGTGACAGTGAGAGCAAAGAGTGGTGAGGTTGGTTAGTCCGAGTGGCGACAATGGTGAGAATAAATGGTGAAAATGTTAAGTGGTGGAGGGGTGGGAGTCACGAGGTGGTGAGATGGAGTGAATAGTGTGAGTGAGTCACCACAGGTGAGAGGGTGAGAGAGTTGAGTGGTGAGAGGTGACAGTGGTGAGAATGGGAGGTGAGTGTGGTGAGAGCGAATGAGTGGTGGGGAAGAGTGGTGAGAGTGGGAGGTGAGAGTGGGAGGTGAGAGTGGGAGGTGAGAGTGGGAGGTGAGAGTGGGAGGTGAGAGTGGGAGGTGAGAGTGGGAGGTGAGAGTGAGCCGCAACATTGGGATGTTCAGGTTTTAGATTTGAGTGCGTGGTGGCAGTGAGAGCAGGTAGGCTGGTGAGGGTGAGCGGTTAATATGGTTGGGTAGGTGAGACTGAGTAGCAGTGATAGTGGGTGATAGACTCAGGTGAGTGTGAGTGGTGATAGTGGGTGATAGATACAGGTGAGTGTGAGTGGTGATAGTGGGTGATAGACACAGGTGAGTGTGAGTGGTGATAGTGAGTGATAGACATAGGTGAGTGTGAGTGGTGATAGTGGGTGAAGGCCACAGGTGAAAGAGAGGGAGTTTAGTGGTGAGAGTGCTGCAACTGATTGTTGAGGGTAATCGAGTGAGTGGTGGTGAGGCTGGGTAAGTCAGAGGGTGTGGTGAGGGTGAGAGTTTGAGCGGTGAGAAGTGAGAGTGAGGTTGAGTTGTGAGAATGGCGAGTGCATGGTGATTTTGGTGAGGGTGGGTGGTGGGAGTGAGTGAGTGGTGGGAGAGAGGTCTGGGAGTGGGAGGTGAGGGTGAGTGGCATTAGCTGAATGGTAAGTTTTTCAAGGTGTTAGTGCGTGGTGACGGTGAGAGCGGAGAAGGTGGTGAGGCTGAGTCGTTAAAGTGGGTCATGAGAATGGTGAGTGGTGGAGGGGTGGGAGTCTAGAGGTGGCGAGCTGGAGGTAATTAGTGGTGTTGATAATATATCGTCAGAGAGAGTGGTGCAAGTGAGTATAAAGATTGAGGATTGAGACTGGATGGGGAGTGACTGGTGAGTGTGCAATGAGAGTGGATGGTGAGAGGGTGGTGAGTGTCAATGAGTGCTGGGAGTGGCAAGGGGTGCAACAGTGTGCAATACACTGGATTCTCATAATGGCAACTGTGTGCATGCATGCATGAGTACACCAAGCATGCATGTGTGCATGTTTGCAGTTCGCATGCATTTGTGTTAGTGTGCACGCATACATGATCCCATTTGGACCTGTATTTATCTAATATCTCATTAGCAGAGTGACACATTTTTTGTTTTTTTTTTTGTTTTTTTTTTTATTGTTGATAATTCTGCATGCTTGCATGATTCCATTTGGACCTGTAGTTATCCAATATCTATTCAGAAAAATAGACTTAAAAAATCTCTCAAAGTCCTGAAAAGCACACTTTCATGTGATTAAGGAATATGCAAAACGTGTTTAGATATTTTCATTCATGGTAAGTTTCTCAATTATAATCTGCTTACACTTCTGACTTGTTTACAATATTTCGCGAAACACAACCATATCCCCGCACAAGCTGCTAGGCCATCAGAAACGGCCTTTCCCCCCCTCGATTCTGTCACACACAGCCTGGTTCAGACTTTGTTCAGAGGAATTAACTAGAAACAGCCAGCAGTCAGTTCTCTACTGTATCTGCTCGTCTCAGATTAGAAACACTGGCTTGTCCAGCCAGTGAGGAGGATCATGGAGAATCGGCATCACAGTTCATAGCTGAGATTTACGCGCAAACCGCTAGGTCTGCGGAAGGACTGCTGAGCGAAACCTGGCTGACGCCAGAAGGCGAGAGATCCAGATTCCAGGCGTAGTAGCGCGGCATGGGGGATCCAGGCGAGCCGTTTTCGCTCGACTTGCACGGGCCGGGCGCGTCCGCGCTGCGCGCCGTCGTGCGCGACAAGCTCGCTGATTTCTCCGAGAGCTTCACCGACGACGTCCTCGCGGTACGCGTTTCCGAGAGCGTTCGTTACGGTTATGTGGCGTTAATTACGGTTCCGTGGCGTTAAGAGGCGGTTTCGTGTTGGTTTGTGGGGAAACGTCGGATTCCGTAACACTTTATACGAATTCATGGCAGCTGTAGGTATCGGATAGCAGTAGTTGGTCCACTAATTTAGCCATGCGTCGATACGTCGTACGAGAACTTACTTTCTCGTGAGATTGACGCCGTATTGCCGACGCGGAGCAATCGTAAGCATCCACGTGCCCCTCGATCTACGGTCGTCGTTCGCGAATGTTCGCCTTTCGCGATCCCCACGCCGCCGAATGATCCCCCGCAAATCGGATCCGCCTATAATTCCGTTTCTTTACTCGCCAAAGGGAGTTTAGACAGGATATTCACGGACATTGGCATGAGTGGTTCCTTAATGTTAATCGCCTCTGGTATTCAGTGACCCGTACGGTTTTATGAACAACTGCTGGGCTTAGCTGCTCCTTATTGAACCACACAATACCGAACAAAGACGACTTTTGAGACGTATTCCCTCGCCTCGCCCAGCCTCGTGTCCACAGTCGCCTCGTCTTAGCTGCTCATTGTTGAACCTAGCATTTCTGAGCAGAAGCGAGTGGAAACCAAACATTTTTGTCTGCATCCTCAGAAGAGCCGTCCCCGGATGTTTGTTTGTATTCCGGAGACTGAGGAATAGTTAATATTTTCTTCGTTTTTCAATCCTACGCTTGACTAAACCCTGCCAGAACTCTGACTTAGCTCCGCCCTTTTTGCCCTAGCCTTCCCCGGCATCATCTCTGGCGCCTGCACCTTGTGCAATTCACGCGGAAGTACGGTAGGTCCCAGTCCGTTGTCCAATTCACTGAATCTGGACATTTTTCCCACCTCCCTCGCACGAGTACGTGGTGGTGCTGGTGGCGGACGGCAAGCCCAAGAGCCACGCCGCCGAGGATCTCAATTCTTATTAATTAAAGTTCACTGAATCTGGACATGTTTCCTACTTCCCTCGCAGGAGTACGTGGTGGTGCTGGTGGCGCACGGCAAGCCCAAGAGCCACGCAGCCGAGGATCTCGAGGCGTTTCTGGGCGACCAAACCGCCGCCTTTGTCGACTGGTGGGTGATATTCTTCGAAGAAATAATGTCATTGCGCTGCGCGGTACAGTAAATCCCTGTTATAGCGTTGTTGTTCTTTGACCTATTGTTTTTATACCGTATTCCTCTCCGTTTTCCTCACATTTTCTGTGAGTGTACAACCCTGTGTTCGTTTTGGTGCAGCCTGTTGCTTCACCTCGCTCCTCGAAAGCCCCCCACCCTCAGCCAAACCCCCCCTTCCTCCCTCCTCCCCTCATTAACAGGCTGTGGCTTCACCTGTCTGCCAACATTGGGAAATACAACGCGCCCGCTGCCCCAGATACCGCAGGTGCAGGGAAGGATGGGAGAGAAGCGTTGGCAAAGGAGGAGGAGAAGCGGGCCGAGGGGACGCGAGACGAGGGACGAAGGAGGGAGGTTGTTGAAGTGAGGGAGGATGGCGGCAGGGTGTGGGAGGAGAAGGGGAGGGAGGAGAGGGGACGAGATGGGAGGGCGAGAGAAGAGAGGGGGAGAGAGGAGAGAGGGAGGGAAGAGAGGGGGAGAGAAGTGAGAGGGCGGAGCAGGGAGAGGAGTGGTGAGCGAGGCAGGGAGAGAGGGGGAGAGAGAGGAGTGAGTGGAGAGAGGGAGGGAGGCTGGAGCAAGGAGCGGGAGAAGGAAAGGGACGGAGACAGGAGGAGCCTGGATGGAAGGACAGACTCGTGGAAGGGCAAGAGAGGAAGGGATGGGGTTGTTACGGGGCGTGAGGAAGAAAGGGGGAGGGGGTATGAGGAGAGAGGGAGAGGGTATGACGAAAGAGGGAGAGGGTATGAGGAAAGAGGGAGAGGGTATGAGGAGAGAGGTAGAGGGTATGAGGAGAAGGGGAGGGGAATTGAGAAGAAAGGACGGCTTTATATGGACGAGGTACGAGGGGCGGAGGGCGAGGAGGAAGGGGGAGTTGAGAGGAGAACGGCGAGGGGGGCGGAGAGGGACGTGAGGGCGCGTCGGGGTGGGTCTAGATCATGGTCTCCCCCAGGAAAGCGGGAAGAGAGGGAGCAGCGGAGGGAGGAGAGGGGAGAGGAGGGCGCTAGGCGGATGGAGGAAATGAGGGGTGGGGGATTGGATAGGGAGGAGGCAAGGGGTGGAGAACTGGGAAGGGCGGTTAAGAGGCGGGTGTCAGGGGAAGGGGGCGGTGAGGAGTGGCGGGGGAGGCATGAGGGGGAGAAGCAGGGGGGGGAGGGGGGGCGGGAGAGGGTGCGCGCTGAGAGGCATGGGGAGGAGGAGCGGGCGCGGATGAGGCGGCTGTTTGGCAGCAGCCTGGGCGAGGGGGCGCGGAGGCGGGCGACTGTGGACGGGGGGAGGGCGGATGGGGGGAGGGCGGATGGGGGAGAGAGAGCGGTGGCGCGGAGACGGACAGAGGGAGAAGTGGGGGCGGAGGGGGCGGAGGGAGCGGCGGGAGCAGGACTGGAGGGTAGCGAGGAGGCTGTGAGGAGGAAAGGGCGTGGGGCGTTTGCACTGGTGGCCGCGAGTGAGAGGCGGCTGGAGGGCGAGGAGGGGAGGTGGCAGGGCGAGGAGGGGGTGGAAGTAGGGGGGGAGGAGCAAGAGGGAGGGGACGGTGTGGAGAGAAGGGATGGGAGGGGCTTGGATGGGACACAGGAACGGATGGCAGGAGGGCAGGTTGTGGGGAAAAGAGGGCGGCAAGTGGGCGGGGGAGCAAGGGGAATGGGCGGCAGGCTGTGGCAGTTTGCGGTGAGAGACGCTGTGAAGCCTGCGAGGGAGGTGCGTGCTGCTGCTCACCCCCATGCTGCCACTGCGGCTGCACCTCTTGCTGCTGCTGCCGCTGCAAGAAGTAATGGTGAGCAACAGGAGGAGGCAGGAAGGGCAGTGGAAGTGAGGGCGACGAGGGAAGTAAGGCGAATTGTCGTGTCTGCCCCCAGCCGCTCTGCCATTCAAAGGTCTCCTGACCTCGTTGCTCCCCCTGCTGCCTCCGATGGTGCCTCCCCTTGTGCTGTGAAGGGTGCTGCTAGAGCAGCTAGTGAGGAGGAGCGAGTGGCAAGGGCAGAGGAGAGAAGGGATTGGGGGAGAGGAGAGGAGAGAGGAGTGGAGAGAGGGGAGAAGCAGGAAAAGGATAGAGGAGAGGAGAGAGAAGAGGAGGGGGGAGAAGAGGAGGGACTGGAGGAGGAGGAGGGGCGTGGGGCACGGAAACGGTTGCGATCAGTGGTGGTGTCTCTTCCTGCTGACGCCCCTCGCCGGATCAAGGCAGTGCGGAGGCAGGGGAGGGAGGGGCGGGAGGGGAGTGGGGGCGAGGAGGTAGAGGAAAGAGCAAGAGTAGATTCAAGAGGTAGGGGAGGGAAGGAAGGCGCAGAGGCAGGTAGAATGGGAGGGAGCATAGAGGAAGATACGGAGGGCAGGGAGGGGGCGGAGAAGGAGGGTGGTAAAGGGAGTGTGTGGGCGAGGCTGGGCAAACGATGTGTGCAGAGGGGTGGAGATGGGCGGATAGTGGTGCAGAGGCAAGCAGAGCTTGGGGAAGAGTATGGGGAAGGGTTTGGGGGAGGGTATGAGGAAGGGTATATGGGTGGGTATGCGGGAGGGTATGGGGGAGAGTATGGGGAAGAATACGCAGGAGAGTATACGGAGGGGTTGAGAGGAGTTGAGCAGGGTATGTGGAGTGAGGGAGTAGAGGGGTGGGGCGATGGGAGAGGAGGAGAGGGAGGGGGGATGCGAGTAAGGTTTGGAGGAGAGGACGAGGAGGAGGACGAGGAGGAAGAGGAGGGGGTTGAGGGCCTGGGAGGAGAGATGCAGGCAGGGGTGAAGGGAGGGGCGAAGAGAGGAGGAGGAAGCAGGGAGAGAGGCGTGAGGAGGATATTTGTGCGGGAGGATTTGATTCAAAGGGGTGTGCTTGTGAATGGCATGGGCTTGGGTATGGGTGCGGGAATGGGGATGGGCTTAACCGGGCAAAATGTAGGCCTGGTGATCGTCCCTGCTCTGCAGAACCCCCAGCTGTACGCTCAGCAACCCCCGATGTTGCAGCAGGCTCAGCAGCAGCAGCAGGTTCAGCAGCAGTATGAGCAGCAGGCGCTGCAGTCAACCCAGCAGCAGCAGCAGCAGCAAAGGCCGCAGCTGCAGCAGCGGCAGTGGCTCAGAGTGCCTCCGCAGCAGCAGCCGCATGAACCACAGCAGCAGTTGCAGCAGGGCGACACACAGGTGCAGCAGGCGCTAGAGAAGCTGCAGAAGCCCCAGGGGGCAGGAGGAGTGGGGAGCGGGCAGGAGGAGGGCGGAGTGCGGCGGTCTTGGCCTGGCACTGGAATGGGGGCAAGGCAGGGGAGGGGGGGGCAAGGCAGCATGGGGCGGGGGAGGGGAAGCATGACTTGGGTGGCGAAGAAAGGCGAGAAGGAGACCGAGAAGGATAAAGATATGGAGAAGGTGAAAGAGAGTAAAGTCAGCCCAGTGGCTCAGAAGCAGGTGCGTGTTTTTGCTCCTGCAATTGTGATTGTCGCTTTTTGATTCGACTAAAAGCACAAACTCCCCAGGTCGCTCATTTCCTTCCCACTCACTCATTCTGGCGGATCCACACGCGTTCTACCGTGTGGCAGGAGAGTGTGGAGGCAATGAGGCAGCGGCTGCAGCAGATGCAGGAGGAGATGCGGCGGATGAAGGCACTGCAGGAGAAGGCTGCTGCTGCTGCTGCTCCTGGTGGCGATAAGGCTGCTGCTAAAGCTAGTTCAGCAACAAGCAATGCTGATGCTGCGCCTGCTAAGCCCACAGGTACACACCCGTGCTCATTCACTTGCCAACGGGCTCCTTGCATTATCTTTTCATTCACCCCTCTCAAGTCCCCCGTGTGTCTAAAAGTAGTGTTCTGAGACGTCTCAAAACTGATACCACATGTGTCCATCGCCCGGCTGATCTCTCTGTATCCCTCTCCCAATATCATTCTCTTCTCCTCCCTACTTCTCCCACTATCCGTCCTTCCGAAACTGCAGGGAGTTTTTGAGACTTCTCAAAAACTCCCTACTTCTCCCACTATCCGTCCTTGCGAAACTCCCCCTTTCACTGTCACCTCACATGCTTAACACATGTCTGTTATCTTTGTTCCTTCCTAATCCTTTCCTCCCAACCCTCCCGTTTTCCTCTCCCCCCCCTTCCCTTCTCTCCCCCATTCGTTTTGTGTATCGTTCACAGCAGCTGCTCACCCCAACGGCACGTTGTCAACCTCACCGCACTCCACCGCACTGCACGCCCATGCACCCACGCCCTTCTCCCTCGTGCGCAAGTCTCCCTCCACAGGGGACGCTGACGATCGCTCCGTGCTCGTTTCGAATGTGAGCTCCACTCTCTCCACCACACTCCACCGCACCTCACCTCACCTCACCTCACCTAACAAGATTTCACCCAACCGCCCCAGTCCTTTCCTGCTTTTACTCCCAGTCGGCCGAGAATTCCCCTGATCCCTCTCCACTATGCGATGCTATTGCACGCTTTGGGCTTCAAGAAATGTCAACCTGAAACAACCTGGAGTAAGAGTGCTGTCGTCAGTAAGAAGCGTTTCTGTTGAGGAACGCACTCCACAGCCACGCGTGCTGCCCCCTGCATTCTGCCATAAATATTTTCTCCCCTGGTGACACAGTCCTTTTCCTGCCTGTCTTGTGCCCTCTGCTCACTGCCCTCTGCTCTGCCGTTCCTCCCCGCAGGTGCACTTCGCAGCAACGGTGGCAGCGCTCGCGCTCCACGTTCACTTTTGAGTCGACTCAAAAGTCTGCCCTCTGCCCTGTGCCCTCCCCTCCGCCCTCCATCCCCATTCCTCCCCGCAGGTGCATTTTGCAGCAACGGTGGCAGCGCTCACGCTCCACTTCGCAGCATGTGGGGAGATTCGCAGAGTCACCATCCTCACTCATCCCCTCACTGGCCGCCCCAAAGGGTATTTTTTCCTACCTGCTGCTTTCAGAGCGTGATTCACACCTGCTGCATTCTTGCCATTTTCAGACACTTCCTTCCCTCCCGCCTCGTGTCACCATCCTCACTCACCCTCTCACTGGGCGCCCCAGAGGGTAACCATTCCCGCCTGCTGCTTTCAAAGGGTCTCATGATTCCCCACCATTGCTGCCTGCTTTCTTGAGGCGCCTCAAAAGTCCTTGTGATTCCACGTGCTGCTTTCTTACCATACGCTTCCCGAAACCTTTTTGTGCACCCTGCATCAACATGCTTTGATTGCATCCTATTGCATGCCTAAATAGCCACTTGTCATCCTAATATTGTAATTGTCAACATCAACATGCTTTGATTGCAGTAGCAAGTCTGCTTTCCAAACTTACACAATTATGCCATGCCTGCCCCCCAATCCCCTGCCCTCTCCACCTGACTGACTGCAGATGTGCTCATATCGAGTTCGCCACTAAGGAAGCGGTCGACAAGGCCCTAGCTCTCAACGACGCTTCGTTAATGTCACGCCCCGCTCAAGGTACTTCCATTCCACCTCTTCGCCTCTCTATTCCGCCATCTCCTCTGGGTTCCATTCTTTCCTCGCTATGCCGCCTCCTCGCCCAGTCCCCTCCTGCCAGCACAGCTGTACACACATTCTCCTCAAGCTCTGCGCGACAGGGGAGGCACTCCTCTCTCTGTTACTGTGTGTGAGGAGGAAAATTTGTCTGTTTTCAGTACGAGAATGCAGTTTCCTTCGCTGCTGTACCAGCACTCATCACGCCTATTCTTCATCCCAGTCCTCACACCCCCTCGCTCCCTTCTCCCCCGTTTTCCCATTCCCTCCTCTGACCCGCTGATAATCCACAAGCTCCATGAAGCAGGAGGCACTCCCCTCTGCAGCAGCACCCACACCAGTCATGCCTCCCACTCTCCGACCCAGTATTTACACCCCCTTCCTCCCTTGTCCCTCCCTTCTCCCCCCTCCCCTCACCCGCAGATAATCCACAAGTCCCATGCGGCAGTGGAGGCACTCCCTCTGCAGCAGCGCCCACACCAGCCATCACTAGTCCCACTCTCTACGCCTGTACTCGTATCAACTTCCTCCCTTCTCCCACTCTTCTTCCCGCAACCCCTCCCCTCACCCACAGATCGTCCACAAGCCCCATGCAGCAGTGGAGGCACTCCCCTCTGCTACCCCACCACCCATCACGCCCACCCGCCCCACTCGCCCACTCCTCACGCCCACCAAGCTCCCCTCCCCTGCTCCGGGCACCAGTCCCACAGCCCTCGCGTCCCCCTCTGCCCGGGTTGTGCCTGGAAAGGCCCTGGCTGTGGGTGTGAAAGCGCAAGCTGTTCGCCGGCCCTCTGCCAGAGGCAGCTTGCAGTGGCGGAGACAACCTGAGGAGTCTGCTCCTGCTGCTGCTGCTGCTGCTCCTGCTGCTGCTGCTGCTGCTGCTGCTGCTGCTGCTGCTGCTGCTGTTGCTCCTGCTGCTGCTGCTGCTGCTGCTGCTGCTGCTGCTGCTGCTGCTGCTGCTGCTGCTGCTGCTGCTGCTGTCGCTCCTGCTGCTGCTGCTGCTGCTGCTCCTCCTGCTGCTGAGACTAAGGTCGAGGGCAAGGGTGGTGTGATAGGCAATTCAAAGGAAGCTGTGCAGAAAGCAACAGCAAATTCTGCACCTGTGGCAGCAGCTGCTGCTGCTAAAGGAGGCGAGATCGAGGGGTGATCCAGTAAACAGGTTTTTTTTTGCTGCCTGGAGCACTGGCAGGGACAGCTACAGGGAGCCTGGCATGCTGTTTCTTTGGTTCTCGTACGAGCTGTGTGGATCAGCCCTCGTTTCTGCTCGTGGTTTAATTCTTCAGTTATTTCATCAAATTGCAGAGGAACGTGGCATCAGTAAATGAAATGAATCAAATAATTTGTTTTTGGGAGCAGATTCAACTCTCTTGCTTGGAATGTTCTTCCGTAGCACACTCTCAAATGTTCTAAGCATACGCCTTCACGAATCGCCTAATGGGGGATACGGACTCAGTGCGCTCCGCCAGCACCCTTCGAAACCATTTGAGGCGATCTTGGCCATGTTCAACCCAACCCCATCGTTCTATTAGCTGAATGTACCGCGATGACTTTTACCCACACAAAAATCGAGTGCTTTTCGAGGAAACATGGCAAGTTCGAATGATGTTGAGGGCGCATTCGTAGCCCGTGTCAGACATCAGGTCAGACCCGAAGTGGAGGCTCGGAAGACCCGAAGTGGCTCGTTCGTGAGGCAAATCCGAGTTCGGATAATCCAAATCGGAGACTAAGGGCTTTTGACCTGAAGTCTGGCACGGGCCACGAATGCGCCCTGAGTCGAGTAAAGAAGGGAAGCAATATTTGTTCGCATTACACCTGTAATACCAAATATCAGCCTCATGGCCGAAAAAGCATTATCCATTCACCCTTCACGCATATATCACTAATGGCAACCTGAGAAAATAGGGAAACGCTGCCATTAAGATTGCCCAACCTCGTCATTGAGCACCTGTTCAGTAACCTTGCGTTTGTGCTCCTGCATCTGCAACGACCATACTAATGATGGTCTTCATCCTCCAGGGATGTTCTCATATACATACCTGCTTTTTCGTCTGAAGCAGAAACGGCATCACATCACGATTCAGTAGCCCGATTTGTGAAACGCTGGTTTCTCACCATCCCCGCAAACATCACACTGTGTGCATTGACCAAGCCATTCATTAGCATGAGTAGAGCATCCCATCGTATCCAAGCTCAAATGTGTCGCTGTTTCAAGTTTACACGGCCTACCTTGTGCAAACGTCTCCCCTTTTCAATGATACTTCACGCGTGATCATGGGATAACGACGAGTCGCATTGGTTCACACTCGTCGAAGCCCTCCAGCTTGAGCAATAAGAGTACGAATAAATTGACGCATTTGAGAATCTGAACTGCCGCAGTCGAGGTGATTCTATGCCTACTAAGCCAACTGTGGAGATCACGAGCCGCCCTTACTGAAGTAGTATGTAATGCGGCAATCACCCGTCGCTTCTAAGACTCTCACAACTCTTATTCATAAATATCATTGTTCCTGACACCAGAAAAAAAAACGATCGTCAAGCAAGTAGCATCTCGTCAAATGACAGTGTTGAGGACTGATCACACTGGTTGCGGGTCGCGCTTCCAATCCTTCAGTATTACTGATAGAGGAACCTCTATCAGATCTCAACAATTGAGAACTTCTGGAAAAAAACAGGACGAGTTCGCTACTCTGGAGACTCCTCGCAAGTGAATTTGGTTGTTGTTGATCGCCGACATGTCATGAAGAAATTTGCTCACACCCACCCCATGCATCAGCAATGCAACAGAGCGTGGGAGGTTTGGGCGTTGGCGGGAAAACTATCAAATTGTGGAACATAGTTCCGTGAAAGCTGGAAGCGACCATCGCATTCCCCACGATCACGGGAGACAGGCACAACTCCTTTTGGACATGATTCAAGGCCAGGGAAGAAATCTGTTTATCCAGCGCAGCAAAAAGATCTCGAGTCCCGACGCGTGCTGAGGAACTGTTGCGATCTGATGGGTAGGGAGGTGGACGGAAAGGGGCAAACGGGAAGGCTGGGTGGGAGCAAGCTACCAAAAGCTTGTGATCGAAGGTGAAAAGAAGCATTCAACCGAATTGGACCGACCAGCACCTACAGCTGGTGTCACTCATTCCACGCAAATTGGCTGCGAAGGTGAGTGCCCCAACAAAGGAACAGACCAAACGAAAGCGGAACCCGAGCGGAGCGAAGCGGAACGCAGAGGCGTTTTCTCCGCCTACAATTGATGCATGTTTGAGCCCCTTCCGGTTGCCTTGTGAAGGGGGCGTATAAGCCGTATCGAGCATTTCGCATAAGTTTCGTCAAATCGCAGTTAGCTAAAAAATATTCGCAGGTACTTATATTCAGGATCTGTAACCTTATTCGTTGACATTTTGACTTCAGTCTCTTCAGTTTGACTTCGGTCTGTTCGTTACTATTGGTCCATAACCACGCGACGCGCTTGTATTGTGGGTGCAACAGGCTGGAGAAAAGACCTCGGGTGCAGCGTTTCCATCCGGTAAAGGGCGAGTTTGCGTGCACTGGCTGGGCATCATGTGTACCCGCTTTTGGCGCAAGCCTGTCTGAGTGGTTCACCTACGCGTTCGCTGTGGGGGCCACCTGGTCTCCCCCGCAAATTGGTTGTGTGGGGGCCAAGCACACATTTTCCCCCGCTTTTTGCTTGATGCGGATTGGAAGGGTTGGCGCATCGCATCACAGGTCGCCCAGATTCCCACCGTGGCAGGTGCACCAACCACCGAGCACCATCTCCAGCAAGCTTGGCCATCACGTTTCGCTGACGGGGCTCTGGTGGCTGGCTTCCGAGATTGGGAAAATGCCTCGGAACAGGTGGCAATCTTGACGAGAATTACGGGACAGCACAGCAAGATTATGCGAACAACTTTCTGCACATCGACGGCTGTGAAGACACCATACAGGTACTGTGCTGGACAAGACATCGCCATGCGCTGTCGCACAGACCACGCGAAAAACACCAACATCACGGCGCCGATCGCCAAATCCCCTCCACGTACATAACGAGCACCAATCAGCGCCACGCTCTCTCAGGAGGAATCAGCCACATGGACTTACCCCGCCCTTGCTGACGCGGTTGGTGTGCCTTTAATGCTGGAACAGTAGCTCACGTGGCGGAACAGCTGTGCGGAAGCTCCAGGTCGCGCCTTGGGATTGGGGGAGGGAAGCGGAATTAGGTGGAGGAAATGTCTGTCGCAGCCAAGCGAAAATGCGTAGCCTGCTTGATCGGCCCTACAGCTTTAGGAGAATCTGCGAGTACAAAGCACAGTCAATATTGCCAGCGTTTATTGTCACTCCCAATAGCAAAGCGATTCTCAGCTACCTAGAGGTACCAGTTTAGATCCAAGCTTTCTCTCATCAGCTTCCTGTAACCCCAAATCCGCCATGGCTGCCGAAGCTCCCAAGGACGATAAAGTGGTACGCTTGAGCGCACATGTTTTCTTCCCGCAAGCACATGGCAATGTAGTTGATCAAGCCGAGCGTTGCCCTTCCAATTCGATTACCCGGTAATACAACTGCCTTACGCTTCTGCTCGTCTTTTCCAGGTGTTCGACCCAGCTGCCCAATCAAGGAAGACCACGCGTGCTGGAGAGCACATTCAGAAGGTGAAGGAGATTCCGGACTTCGCTCCCAAGGACATCTATGTTGCCAAGCTCGAGCCTAAGGAGGTTCTCCACAACCTCTCCGTCGCTGGTGAGTCTCTGCTTTCAGCGAGACACACTAGCGTTGCACATTCTCGGGGTTAGACGACATTTTTTGGCAGCTTAAAGCTAGGATTAACATAGACTAGTTGAAGAATTGTTTACCTGTTCTAACGGACATTTCGGCGGCGGTGATGCGTTGCAGAGCTTTACGAGCAAGCCATCGCCCATGAGGAGGGCAACTTCATCGTCTCCACCGGCGCGCTGTGCGCCATCTCCGGGCAGAAGACCGGCCGCTCCCCCAAGGACAAGCGCGTCGTCAAGGAGAGAGACCACGCTGACGACATCTGGTGGGGCGAGTAAGTACCGCCACCCCTCTCAATCCCACGCTGTTCCACGCAAATTCACGCGAAATACTCAGATTTGCACAATTCGTCCTCTGCTAACGTTTCGATGTCTGCGATCCGATTCCAACTTTCTTCGCGCATTTTTTCATTGACTGTTTTCAGAGGGTCACCCAACTACGAGATGGACGAGTACACGTTCATGGTGAACCGCGAGCGCGCCATCGACTACCTGAACACGATCGGCAAGGTGTACGTGCAGGACATGTTCCTCAGCTGGGACCCAAAGCTGCGCATCAAGGTCCGCATCGTGTGTGCGCGCGCCTACCACGCGCTCTTCATGCACAACATGTGAGCCCCCTCACCCTCCCCACCGAGTACCCCGATCCCCGTAAATTCGGACTCTCTCGATCTCGTCTAACTAGTGTATGATGCTCGATTGTCCTCAATTGCGGTCCCGCATGGTTCCCAGTGGTTTCTACTCTCCCTCTGCTGACGGGGTAATTCCTTCATTCTCTCGCCTCTCTCCAGGTGCATCCGGCCGACGGAGGAAGAGCTCAAGGACTTCGGCGAGCCCGCCTTCACCATCTACAACGCGGGCCACTTCCCCGTGAACCGCCTCTCCAAGTACATGTCGTCGGGCACCTCCGTTGACATCGATCTCAACCGCAACGAGATGGTCATCCTCGGTACCGAGTACGCGGGCGAGATGAAGAAGGGGCTTTTCTCCCTCATGAACTACCTCATGCCCAAGAAGGGCGTGCTGTCGCTCCACTCCGGCGCGAATATGTCCAAGGACGGCCAGGTCTCGCTCTTCTTCGGGCTGTCTGGTACCGGCAAGACGACCCTCTCCACCGATCCGAACCGGTATCTGATTGGTGATGACGAGCACACGTGGAGTGATGATGGTGTGGCGAACATCGAGGGCGGGTGCTACGCCAAATGCATCAACCTGAGCAAGGAGAATGAGCCGGACATCTACAACGCGATCCGGTTTGGATCGGTCGTGGAGAACGTGGTGTTCAACCCGCACACGCGCGTCGTGGACTACGACGACGGCAGCATCACGGAGAACACGCGCGCGTCGTACCCCATCGAGTACATCGCCAACGCCAAGATCCCGTGCATCGCGGGCCACGCGACCAACGTGATCCTCCTCACGTGCGACGCGTTCGGCGTGCTGCCGCCCGTCAGCCGGCTGACGCTCGAGCAGACCATGTACCACTTCATCTCCGGTTACACCGCGAAGGTGAGCAACGAGGGGGCGATGCACATGCGCAGGGTGCTGGATGGAGGGTGTGGGGGATGGGTTACTGGGTTTGCGTGGGCGGGGAAGGGTTGTGATGCTCGAATGCAACGGCTCACTCCCAACCAACGTTCAAATCAACCCTGCATGAAATACGCCTGCTTCAGAACTAATCAATTAAGAAGATAGGCGTCCTTGAATTCCTCGTCCTCCTTACATAACTAGATGATGAACTCTTCCCAATGTTCTATGCCTCCCTCACCTTCAGGTGGCCGGCACTGAGATGGGCGTCACCGAGCCAGAGGCTACCTTCTCCGCATGCTTCGGCGCGGCCTTCATGATGTGGCACCCGTACAAGTACGCGACGCTGCTCGCGGAGCGCATCAAGAAGCACGGCAGCACGGCGTGGCTCGTCAACACCGGCTGGACCGGCGGCGGATACGGCGTGGGGCACCGCATGAGCATCAAGCACACGCGTGCCATCATCGACGCTATCCACGACGGCTCGCTGGCCAATGCGGAGACGGTCACCACGCCTGTCTTCAACCTGCTCGTGCCCACCACCTGCGCCAATGTCCCCAACGAGTGCCTGCAGCCCGAGACCCTGGTACGCATCGTTTCTCTCCATGAAAGCCCTTCTCTTACCTCTGTTTTTATCTCTCCCCTTTCTTACCTCCCTGCTAAAACCTCCCAAACATCCCGATCCTATCCCCTCACCATGGTTCTCAATTGCTCCTGTTTTGCTCTCTGCGTGCAGTGGGCGGACAAGGCTAAGTACCGCGAGACGTTGGAGAAGCTGGGCAAGCTGTTCCAAAAGAACTTCGGCAAGTTCACCGAGTTCGAAATGGGCGGCACCGCACAGCGCATCCCCGACGACGTGCTCAACGCTGGCCCCGTCCTGTAAAGCACTCCGCGCTGCTGCTAGCGCGGGGTTGTGCGATTTATTGCGCTGATCAGAACGTGATAGGGCTTCCGCAGCGGTACCTGGAGTGGGTGCTGCGTGGTCTAGGAAAGGGAAGTTTCGATGGGGGATCAAGGGATCCCTTTTTGCGTGTGGTGCGATCTTTGGCAAAATTCATGTTGCTGATCTTTGTTCCCTATACCCCCTTGTCGGCAATTTATATTTATATTTGAGTGCTACTATCGTTGTCCCAAATCATACCTAAAATGCCTGAAATCAACCCAACATCTCTGTGCCACTAGACACAAGGTTAGTGAAATCTAAATAATGGCAAAAATAGAGTATACCAAAACGGTTCAGGTCTAGGTTTTGAAGTCTCAATATGAACACCAGCTTGTTAAATGCATCCCTTCAAAAGCAACATTATCCCAGTTGATCAAAACATATTTAATTGCTAACATGTTTCAAATATTAACATATATGTGCATATTTTCAATTCTCCTTTCAATCCTTTTTTTAATAACTCCATGCCAAAAGACAATACTCAATCTAATTCACAGGTATCTTAAACGTAAAATATAAATACACGCACAAAACAGCAGTACTGCAGTACAGTGGTTGAAGTATCTTATTATCGGTTTCAGCTCATCAATCCAAATAGCTTGATGCACTACCGCAGTTGGTAAGGTTGCTGTTAGAGCGTATGGAGACATCTCAAACTCGCCATAACCAGACTTGATAACTGCGTAATGTGACAGCACACAACAAATTTTGGTACGAACGTGGCCACTCGCTCGTTCGGTAGGAGGCACGCGCCGCAGCTCATCCCTGGAAGCTCCCCCAAGCTCTGTCCGCTCGCGCTACTCGCGGCGCCTCGCAGTGTCTCGCCACCACAGAGTTCACCGATGGAGTCTTATTGAGTCGTCGCAAGCAGAGCCCACCGTTTCGCGAATCAAAGCGCGCCGATGGACGGATTCCGCGGCGCCGTGGACGCCGTCGCGGCGATCTTGCGCCGCGTGCTGCTACGCGACCCCAGCAACCGGCGCGAGGCGTGCACGTGGCTCGCGGCGCTAATCGGTCGCGTGCAGCTCCCGCCCGCGCTGCGCCGCGCGCTTGTCTGCCGGCTCGTGGCGCGCAGCGGATCGCTCGACCCTGGTGAGGCCGTGGGAAAGGAGCGCCTTTCTCAAAACTCCCAAGGCCCCGCATCCCTCGTCCCCCATCCTCCATTCCCCCTCCCCCGACCCTCATTCCGCATCCCTGTTTTCGCTCTCCCTCTCCGGTTCTCTCGAACTCCCAGCGTCCCAACACCCTCCCCAGCCCCATGCGCCTCTGACAGCTCTCTTAATCCGCTCATGCCTCTCCTTCCCCGCTTTAATTCCCCACACCCCCACACTTCTCCCATGCCCCTCCCCTTCCCCCCCTCCTCCCCAACCCCCTCCAAGTCTTCCCCAGGCGCCTCTGACCGCTCGCTGCTGCGCCAGCTGCTGCAACTGCTGTGTGAGGAAAGGCCGAAAGATGCCGCCCGGCTGCTGATGCATGACCCTGACCTCATCCGCTCGTTCTTTGCTGGTGAGTCAACGCGAGTCAATCCAGTCAGGGTGTGACAATGCGAGTCAAAGCAAGTCAACTCTAGTAGAAGTGAGCCAATCCTCTCCTCTCATTATTCTATTCCCTTCTCCTCACCCCTCTCCTGCTCCCATGCCTCACTTTCTCTCCACTCCACCAACCCCCATCCACCCTCTACAGCCAATCCTCACCGCATTCTCTTGTGGTTCGACCATTTCAGTCTGGGGCCTGGCAGTCAAGGGGGCAGATGGGGGGAAGAGGGGGAGAGGAGCAGGGAACAGCAGAGACCAAGCGCCTATGCTGCTACTGCCTATGCTGGTTCTGGTTCTGGTTCGGCCCACACCAAGTTGGCAGGGTCGGCAGCAGCTGGTGACGCTCTGCACCGGGACAGTCCAGGTTCGGGCCGGCTTGTCTTGCCGACCCGAGCTTTGGTTCGGAACCACAGGTTCGGGGCGCAAGCCTTGGCCGAGTTTGCGTTTGCACATCGGGAGGACCATTGGCACCGGCTGGTGTGGGCAGGGAAGCATGCGCAGACACCTGTTACTGTTGCTGCCCGGCCGCATTATTTCTGCGAGCTGGACATCTCGGGCACCATGAAAAACTTTTTGCGCGAGGTGCCCGAGTTCTGGTCGTCGCACGAGCTTCGGAAGACGTTACAAGACGGCGCGCTCTTGTCGCTGGATATCAGTTTTTTTTGTAGAGGAGTTGATGAGGAGGCTTGTAAGGGAGATGGAAGATGAGAGGAGGAGGAGAGGGTGGGAGGAAGGAGTAGAGGAAGTGTTACGCACGGAGAGGAGGGAGGGCGATGGGAGGGACGTGAGGGTAAGGAAGGTGTGGATAAGGGAGGAGCGAATGCAAGCGCAAATACAAATTCAAGAGGAAAGGAGAGGGCGACAAGGAAGAGAGATGGTACACGAGTTGGTGGAAGACTTTGTTGACTCGGTTGACTGGGCTCTGCTGTGCTCTCGGGTGCTGGCTGGGGCGGGTGAAGAGGGGCTGGAGAGTGTTGCTCGCGGGGTGTGGCGATGGGCGCAGGGGAGGAGAGGGGAGGAAGGAGGGGGGCCGGACAGGAGGGAGGGTGGGAGGAAGCGAGAGGATGGTCGAGAGAGGGAGAGGGGGATTGAAAGGGAGAGGGGAAGATTGAAGGAGGGGGGCGGAGATGGGTGGGCTGGGGCAAGGGAAAGGAGAGGGAGAGAGGGAAGGGTGATTGAGATGGGAGTGGGAGCGGGGATGGTGGAGGCACAAGGAATGATGGACGAGGTTCTCATTGGTGCATGCTGGGATGGAGATGAGGAGAGGATTAGAGGGGGCCGGAGGGAGGAGGACGAGGAGTGGAGCAGAAGGGAGAGGAGGGAGAGGGATAAGGAGAGGAACAGCAGGAGGGCAAGGGATGTGAAGGCAGACCAACTCGCATCACTCCCTTCGCTGGATTCGCTCTCTTCATTCGAGCGCCTGCTCCTCCTCGTGGCCGGTGCGTGCCACGGCAGGCAGACCGCTCTGCTGCTGCTCCGGGAGCCCGAGTGGGCCGACGAGCGGGAGGAGTTGACTGCGGTGCTGCGCGGTTGCTTCGCCACCTCTGTGGGGGAGCCACCTGGGAAGCAGCTAGTAGGCTATATTCTGGGAAGTGGTGGTGTGGAGGAAGGAGAGGGGAGGGCGAGAGAGGGGAGGCGGAGGGGTGAGGAGAGGGAGAGAGAGAGGCAAAGGGAAAGAGGAAGGGAGTGGGAGGGAGGGGAGGAGAGCATTGCAGGGATAGAGGTGGTGGTTGGCACGTGGATGGTTAGGGCGCATCTCATGGCGAGTATGGGAATGGATGGAGGGCATACGGGAATGGATGATGACGGATTAGCAGGGATGGGATGTCTGGCGGGGGGAGATGAGGCTGTGGGGGTGATGTTGAGGCGTTTAGGTGTTGCTGTGGAGAGGGGAGGAGGTGAGGGGGGGATGGGTGAGGTGGGCGGGGAGGGTGGGGTTGAGAGGGTGGGGGATGGGGAAGGTGGTGAGAAGAGGAGGAAGAGGGAGATGAAGAAGGAGAAGAAGGGTAGGCGTGGCAAGGTGAGACGCGGAGGGGGTAGGGTGAGTAGCAAGAGAAGGAAGAGGAGGAGCAAGAGGCAGGAGAGAAGAGAGAGGAAGAAGACGAAGAGGAGGCGGAGGAACGAGAGTAGCAGAGATGATACCTCCTCCTCCTCCTCTGCTTCTTCTTCATCATCCTCTGCCCCTGCTTCTAGCGATAGTGAAGCGTCTTTTGATGGGGACGGATACTCAGATGAGAGTGAGAGTAGGAGTGAGAGGGAGATTGAGAGCGATAGCGGGAGGGAGAGTGAAAGGGAGGGGACAAGCACAGGAGGAGGAAAAGGAAGAGTAAGTGAAGGAGGCAGCGGGGAGTCTCACAGGCTGCGGAAGAGGAAGCGAAAGAGGAAGCAGCATAGGAGGGGGAAAAGGAGGAAGGAGGAGGAGCAAGAGGAGGAGGTGGTGGGTGGTGCGGCTGCTTGGCCTGAGAGGGGAGGGCTGTCTGAAAGGGGAGGGCTGTCTGAAAGGAGAGGCCCATCTGCTGCTTCTAGCGACTGGAAGCTGCTATTGGGACCTCTAAGTGTCACTTGCAGCACGGTATGTGTCACTTGCAGCACAGTATGTGTGAAGGGTGGAAGGGAAGGGAAGCGAGAGGATCGAGAAGTCGGTTACCCAACCCAGCCTTTGTTGTCCACTATTGGTCTTGGGCTAAATGGTTGCATACATGCCTGTAGTATCCACTCCCTTCTCATCCAGATCCCTCGTTCGTTCCTTTCCTCTTTTGTGTGTTTTCAGAGGGAGCTTTCAGATGCCGTCGCAGATGGCTTGCTACGTTTGTGCGTACTGTCAAAGGAGCTCATTGGATAAAAAGGTGGACGGTATTGGAGCTTTGTTTGTACATACAATGGTGAATATACCGTACCTATGTGAGCTACTGGGGGGAGGGGGGGGTGCTCTCTTTTGCCAAGCCAAAGGTTGTTTTCTGCTTGTGGGACACTCGGTGCTGTCCTTGCAGTCACTTTTCCTGGTTCACTAATCATGTCATGTCTTCCCGATTTTGCTTTGCATCTTCCCCTCATTATGGCGCGTGCTTGGCCAATTGCATATGGTAGGAAAGCCAATGTGCTTTTGCATGTTATTGTTGTTATAATATATGATTGGGTCTACCTCCTTTGAACGAACCAAACCTCTCTAGACAACTGTAAGGAAATTCCCTTTTCCTTACTTCGCGTCCCTGCTCAACGCGTACGCTACTGTAGCACCTCAGTCAGCACCGTTACCACTCACGACCATCGCATCATTCATTATCCCGCCCTCTTCGCACATCGCATCCCGACCTCACGGCTCGGCTGGTAACCCGCGCTCCGGGCCTACGCTTCGACACTTTCCCAACCTCAGCCCCAGGCTCGTCGCGCGACAACCACAGTCCATTACCGTTACCACTATTGTTTCGCTATATAATCCTTCGCTCATGCCTTCGCTCATTGTACTCTTTGCTTCGATAGTGCAATTCTCGTTCGTTCACTCAATTGCACTCGTAACACTTGGTAATCAGAGCCTACGATCTCATCTCGGACCGCATCCACACCTTCGCTTCCCACTATCTCAATTTTTGGGGGGGGTAGACGTCTCTCAGCGACACAGCACCGCCGCTCGTAGTGCTCCCTCGCAAGCACGCACGGCCACGACCGAGGCTCTCGCTGAGCTTGCCCGACACCCCCGCCATGGCCGACCTCAATCTCGCCACGTTGACGCAGGAGCAACTCGATCGTCTCGTGCGACAATTGGAGGATTCGGCGCTTGAAATCGCGACGCTCACGGCGGAACGTGACTCCGCTCGTCAACAGTCAACGGTGAATGCTCCGACAACATCCCACGCACCAACCAATGTCTCTGTACATTCGGAGGAGCCGATTATCATTTCATCCGGCACACCAACGCAACACAACAGCACGGGACAGCGCTCAGGCGCAGCCAGTGACGGCGCAGCCCAACCGATGCCCGGCATGGGAGGGAACAGGAGCACGCTAAGCCCACGGGAGCCCCGAGAAGCCCGTCGGCACGTGGAGTTCGCGACGACAAGTGGTGAAAACGCCATGATGGCCCCAATGCCACTCAAGCCGCAACGCCCGCCCTGCTTCGACCCAAGCCAACGCGGCGGCCCGACAGTTCAATCGTGGGTCTTCACGATGAATGTGTTTTTCGACGCCAACTACGTCGAGTCGGACGCCGCCAAGATTCGGTATGCGGTTTCACTACTCAGGGGCCCCGCCATGGACTGGTGGCGAGTCATCGTGACGTCGCCACGCGCCTACGAGCCACCGTCGCACGAGGAAGGGCCCTCGGGTCCAGCTGTCACCTGGAGTTCGTTCTGCGAAACAGCCCAATACAGCACGTGGGATGCGTGGTGCGCAGGGCTTCGGGCGCGTTTTGAGCCGATCGCGGCTTCGATTTCGGCGCGTCAGAAACTGCGCACTTGGCGCCAGCTCGGGTCGGTTCAAGACTACACCAGCGGTTTTCTCGCACTTTGCGAACAGGTCGGCTACATGCACGAGGCGGAGCGGGTGGACCGTTACGTCGGAGGGCTGAAGCCGGACATATCGCACGAGATAATGCTACGCGGGCTATCGAATTTCAACGAAATCCTCGCGCTCGCCGAGAAAATCGATATCCTACGCCGACCGAGACCGGGGTCCTATTTCGGACATCGTCCTCGGGGACCGATCGAGCACGCCACTGTACATGCCGTCGCAACGAATGCAGCTGCCACGCCATTTAGAGGGCGCTGCTTTGCTTGCAACCGGCCGGGCCATCGCAAAAGCGAATGTCCAGAGGAGCTGAGGCGTCGAGGAGTAGAGCAGGGGAAGGAGTCTCGGAGGCAGGGAAACGCCAGCAGTCAGTAGAAGTTGGGCCAACTACTGACGAGACTGCTTGCTCGCCCAACCACACCGACCCTCACCGAGTCACAGTACCGATTCACGCCATCGATCGGGCTCGGATGAATAAGGAGGGTACAGCGACGGATTGCCCGGTACTGATCTACGGGAAAATACAGGGAGCAGCAGTGAAAATCTTCATTGACGGAGGGGCAAGTCACAGCTTAGTTAATACTGCAACCGCACGGAGATTACAGTTAATACTTAACCGATGTTTACCTGAGATAGATGCACGCTTAGTCGACGGCACGCCATTGGCCATACGAGAAAAAGTGGAGCGAGTAAAAGTCCGCTGCGGGGGAAACTTCGGGTTTACACAGGAAATGCTCGCAACGACGCTGGATGGGCACGACATTTTACTGGGACGTGATTGGTTGCGACGGTACAACCCACGGATCGACTGGACGACGGGGAGCTGCACAGTGCGAAGTAGCGGTAACTGGGTCGTCCTACCTCGCTGGCGGCCACCCGAATCTTCGACAGTCCAGGTCAACGCCATCACGATGAAACGGGCTGTCGCTGCTGGAGCTGACGTGTACGCAGTGGATATCGCAGTGGTAGAAAAAGACGAGCAGCAGAATGATTTAAAGAAACTGCTAGCAGCCGTACCGACCGAATTACAGGCACTACTGAAACGGTTCCCGGGGATATTTCCGGATGATTTACCACAGGGACTGCCACCTCAGCGAGCGCACGACCATAGGATCGAGCTAGAACCGGGGGCACAGCCAACAGTACAACGGCAATTTCGACTGACACAGCCCGAGCTCGACGAGTTAAGGAAGCAGTTAGATTACCTGTTAGAGAAGCAGTTTATTCGACCAAGCTCGTCACCGTTCGCCGCACCCATACTGTTCACACCGAAAAAAGACGGAGGTTTTCGCATGTGCATCGACTACCGAGCGCTTAACCGAGTAACAGTCAAATCGCGATACCCCATCCCCCGCGCCGACGAACTGATTGACCAACTGCGAACAGCACGTGTCTTTTCGAAAATAGATTTACGGGGAGGTTACCATCAGATTCGGGTTGAACCATCGGACTGCGCAAAAAACAGCATTTAGGACTAGGTACGGGTCATTCGAGTATACAGTAATGCCTTTCGGGTTGACGAACGCGCCTGCGACTTTTCAGATGACCATGAACGAGGCGTTTAGACCACTTTTAGATAAATGCGTGATCGTTTACCTCGACGATATCCTCGTTTACAGTCGGGATAAGCAGCAACACTTAGCAGATCTTGAAGCAGTTTTTAAGGTTTTAGAGGAACATCGTCTGCTCACCAAGGGCTCCAAGTGCGAGTTTTTTAGGGATAGGCTAGAGTTTTTAGGTCACGTCATTTCCGAGGCTGGGGTTGAGATCGACCCAAAGAAGCTGGATACGGTAAAAGCGTGGCGCCCCCCGACGAACATCACGGAACTGCAGAGTTTTTTAGGGTTTGTTAATTACGTTCGACGGTTCGTGCCCGACATGGCACGTTTAACAGCCCCACTAACTGATTTACTGCGTAAGGGGGTCGCTTTTACGTGGGGGGAGAAAGAGCATGCTGCCTTCTCTGCCCTAAAAAACGTCCTCTGTTCACCACCCGTTCTACGTATCGCTGATCCCCACCGCCCTTTCGAAGTGGTTACCGACGCAAGTGACATCGCCATCGGAGCTGTACTGTTACAGGACTTCGGCAACGGCCTCCAACCCATCGCCTACGAATCACGCAAACTACATCCGCCTGAGCGAAATTACCCGATACACGACCGCGAAATGCTCGCGATCGTGCATGCATTCAAAGTTTGGCGCTGCTACTTGACTGGCGCAGACGTGACAGTACGGACAGACCACCGATCTCTACAGTACCTCCGCGCACAGCCCCACCTCAACCCACGACAGATTCGATGGCTCGATTTCCTCGAGTCGAATTTTCACTATACGGTCACATACAAAAAAGGAGCATCGAATATCGCCGACGCACTGACCCGCCCCACTGCCCAGATCCACGCGATACTACTCGCCCAGACCAGCCCACTGCTTACCGGCCTATTTACCCACGGATATCAAACAGACCCGTTCTTTACAGGAGGCAACTCACAGCAATTCGCAGCGGCAAAAGGAGTCTATTACGTAAAAACTGGAACCGACCGCATCTGGGTACCGGGATACACGCTACTGCGGGAACTACTGTTACAGGAAGCACACGACGGAGTTACCTCGGGACATTTCGGGGTAGAAAAAACACGGCAAGCAGCTGCAGCGGTACTACTACTGGCCAGAAATGTTGACCGATGTGCAACGACACGTGGCATCGTGTCCCACTTGCCAGCTCATGAAGTCAAGCAGGAAGCGACCAGCGGGGCAATTACAACCCATCCCGCCTCCAGAGCGTGCTTGGCAGCAGGTGACGATGGACTTCGTCACGGGGTTACCAGCTCGGGCGAGTGGGAATGACGCGATCATGGTCGTCGTCGATCGACTAACGAAAATGGCTCATTTCGCAGCATGCAGGAAATCCATCACAGCCGAAGAAACCGCCCGACTATTCATCGCCACCGTCGTATGACTGCACGGGATACCCGCGTCGATCATCAGCGACAGGGACACGAAATTTACCAGCAACTTCTGGCGGAACCTGTGGCAAGCAGTTCGGCACGCGCTTATAGTTCAGTTTATCCTATCACCCCGAAACCGACGGACAGACGGAACGGACAAATCAGACCATGGAGCAGCTGATTCGAGCCACGTGCGACGACCCGAATACGTGGGAACAGCAGCTGCCACTCATCGAGTTCGCATACAATAACGCACCATCAGCCACGACGCAACAGTCGCCGTTTTATTTGAATTACGGACAGGACCCAACAGTACCCATGACACCGAATCCCGACAACCCAGTCCCACGAGCACAACAGTTCGCCGAGATTCTGCAAGCAGCACGGACCAGGGCAGCAGAAGCAATCAAAAAATCAAACATCATCGCTAAACGTAACGCCGATCGACATCGCAGACCCGTTACTTATCAGCCCGACGACCTCGTATTACTCGACACTCAGAATCTTCGCCTGCCCATCACTCCAAAACTTCGCCCCCGGTATTGTGGGCCATTCCGCATCAGCCACATGATCACACCCGTCACCGCCCACCTCCTCCTCCCTGCTGACTGGTACGTCAGCTCGTCATTCCACGTCAGCCTACTTCGCCCTTACATCCCATCCACGAGCCAACTGCCACGAAATCGCCCAGCCAGCATGACACGTCCCCCAACCGAACCACTCATCACCCCTGAGAAAATCCTCAGCCACCGAGTCCGCGACCCTCGGGGAGCCGAAGGATAGAGTTCCTAATTCGCTGGAAGGACCCGAACGCCCACAGAAGACAACTGGGTCCCCCTGGATAAAATTGAGAACCACCCTGTCTTCCCCGAGTATCTGCGAAGCCGAAATTTCCGCGACATCCATGCGCTCTCGTAAGAGGGGCCTCCTTGGGGAGGGGGGTAGTGTAAGGAAATTCCCTTTTCCTTACTTCGCGTCCCCTGCTCAACGCGTACGCCACTGTAGCACCTCAGTCAGCACCGTTACCACTCACGACCATCGCATCATTCATTATCCCGCCCTCTTCGCACATCGCATCCCGACCTCACGGCTCGGCTGGTAACCCGCGCTCCGGGCCTACGCTTCGACACTTTCCCAACCTCAGCCCCAGGCTCGTCGCGCGACAACCACAGTCCATTACCGTTACCACTATTGTTTCGCTATATAATCCTTCGCTCATGCCTTCGCTCATTGTACTCTTTGCTTCGATAGTGCAATTCTCGTTCGTTCACTCAATTGCACTCGTAACAACAACGAATAGAGCACGCACAGTGCACTAGCTAGATCTTAGAGCCACGGTGGGTGGCGGAATAAGGATGATGCATCCTACCGAAGTGAACACTAATCCCTCGGTAAAATCTCAGGGATCCGCGAAACCTCGGGATTCATTTGAGGGCCAATCAACAGCGTCCTTGATCTGCGCTGGGAAATTCGAGCTGCTTTGGGAATGTCGTTCCATTTTCTCATTCCATGCATGCAATGTCATTCTTCTACTTGTCACTCTGCTGCTTGACAATGGAGACTTGCTGGACCATTTCTAACAAGGGAAGACTGTTCTAGGCTGGAAGAGCTAGGGATTTTGTTGATCTTGCATACACGCGGTCAGTTCAGCAGATATTTGTTCTCTGAGAGTCCCTACCTATTTCGGCTAGGACCAGATCCTTCCGTAGCAAGAGGAATGGAAAACGGCGAGCCTCGAATTAGCGTTGCGGAGAACCATGGTGGAAGCTATCGGAAGCTGCTTGAAGACGACTTTCTGATTCCGAACTCCGGCGACTTTCGTGTCGTGCTCCTCGAGAATGCCGTCGTCTGGCGCCGCACCAAGCCGTCTTCTGACAAGGTAGCATCAAATCTAGTCAGGCGTGAGTTACATGGTCATCTCGTATGGAACCATCGTCTGACAAGTAGCAGCCGCAGTTTCAGGCGTCAGTTACATAGTCACCTCATATGAAGTCGCCATCTGACAAGGCACAGCACCTAGACGCCGGAGGTGCACAAAATACGAGTTGCGAGCTGCACACATACTCTAGAAACTGGTATTGACAGATTATCGATTCTGGAGCGACAGAATCTTACACCAGACCGTCGCATTTGTCGAAATGGGATTCGAATCGCTACAGTCAGTTGCTTGCTGAAATCCCTTGTCCTCACACCTTTCAGATTCCTTCCTCGGTTGAGTTCTGTAAGAGGACGTGGTCACCAGAACGTCGTGATCCGACGATCACGCGTTGCGTCGGATCCGGTCGACTTTTGAGTCGACTCAAAAGTCATCACGAGTTGCGTCGGATCCGGTCGCCACTCATCGTCACCTGTTAACTCGTGCTCTCGACCACGAATTATTGCACCACGCTATACGCGGCATTCTGCGCTCCAATGCATAACTCTCAACACTCTCCTCAACTGGCTATCGCCATTCCGTTGCTTGTCTTCCTGAACCAGGCCGTACAAGGCAAGGCGGGGAGCCCGCAGAGGGAGGCGTCTGGAAGGGCGAAACGCGTTTCCGTGGCGGAAATCTACGCAGTGGAGAGATTGGATGAGGCGGCGGTGAAAGGGAGTCTCTTAGGCCCAGCAGCTAGAGTGAGTGGGACCAACAGCTAGATTAAGTTACAGACTCTCACGATTGTTTCCGTGGTGGATATCTACGCCGTGGAGGGATTAGATGAGGTGTTGGTGAAAGTTTTCTGCTTGATGTTTACCAGTACAGGCCAACTCTCCTTCTCTCCCCTTTTTCCCACCACACCTTTCAGGCAAAAACCTACTTCTTTCCCCTCTCTCTCCCTCGTTTCCCTTTATTCCTCATACCTGCAGCTGCATCGTCTGGCCATCCATACTTTCCGGAAGGCTGCTGACAGGTGGACACCCGTGCAGCTTGTTCTGAGTCACGCTGATGTCAGCGTGTGTCAGCAGTGGGTCGATTCTATCCAATCACTGCTCAGGGCGGACCCTGAACGGCCCCGGAACCTGCTGGTGCGGTGACAATGAGTGCTGAAGTGGTGAACATGGGTGCTGAAGAGGTGAACATGGGTGCTGGTGTGGTGATCTGGTGGTGAGGGCAGATAAGGTGCATGCCTCGTCTTTTATTAACTTTTCCCACTCTGCACCTCACATTCAGGAATGCAATATTCCCTGTTTCACTTCCACCTCACTTCCTGCTTTGTAAGTCTTCCTTGCAACGCACTTAAGACATGAGCACTCGAGACGTGGGTAGCGGTCAGTGCAGGATCACCTTCCCCCACCTCCCCACTTTCCCTCTCTTTCTCCTCGAGTTTTCTTTTCCCCTTGCTTGCAATCTCCAGGCGTTCATCAACCCCATCGGCGGCCACCGCAAGGCGCTCAAGACGTGGGCAGCGGTGAAGCCCGTGTTTGATCGGGCGGGAGTGGCGGTTACTGAGGTGGTCACGCAGGCGGCAGAACCACGCTTTTGATGCCGTGTATGGGGCGACTGATGAGGAGATCTCAGCCGTTGATGGCATTCTGGTTGTGGTGAGTCATTGGATGGGTGATGGGTGAACGGTGGGTGGGTGGGTGGATGGATGGATGGACGGGTGGGTGGGTGGAAGGACGGACGGATGGTCGGGAGGACGGATGGACAGACTTCAATACGATCCGATGCAGTCCAATATGTCTACACAGTCTCCATTCTCCTCCCGCCTGCCCCTCTCCCAACAGAAAGGGGACGGCTTGCTCAACGAGGTGCTGAACGGGCTAGCCAAGAGGCGCCTTGGAAATAGGATCCTACGAACTCCCAATACAACCCCCCATGTACTCCAGGATCTCTAAATATTCACCATTTGTCTCCACCCGCCCACTCTCAAACAGGGAGGCGATGGCCTGTTCAACGAGGTGCTGAACGGGCTGGCCAAGAGGCGACACCACGCCCCCCCCTGCATCCACCCTTCTCGCCTCTCCTCTGCACGCCTCTCCCTCCCTCCCTCCTCCCATCTCTCTTCCACACCACCCCCACTCGCCTCCTCTGGTTCCCCTGCTGCTCTCTCGTCTGCCGCTTCCGTCCTCTGTCAAGTCATCCCCACCCACGTCAGCTTCTCACTCTCTCACCTCTCTGTCTCCCTTTCGGTTGCTTGCTCGCCCCTTGCGCCTCTCCTTCTCCTCCTCCTCCTCCTCGCCCAAAGACTTGCCGCTTCAGCAGCAGCAGCAGCAGCAGCAACAGCAGCGACAGAGCCAGCACCTGCAGTAGCAGGGGCAGAAGCAGAGAATCGGCAAGGCAGCAGCATAGCAGCCAGGTCAAACGGGTGCTGCTGGAAGAGTCTAGCGATGAATCACTGCCACGTGTTGCGGCTGGTGATGCTGGTGGTGCTGGTGGCTCTGTTCCAACCGGTGGCGCTGCCGCTGCTCCTCCTTTTCCTGCCGTTGCTGCTACCAATGATGCGGCTGCTGCTGCTACAAATGAGAGTCTGTTTGCAAATCTGGGAGCAAGGAGTGACGGAGGGCAGAGTAGCGAGGAGGATGGAGACAGGGAAGAAGCTAGGGGATGTGGAAATGCTGTTGAAGCGATAACACAGTCAGGGGCACAAGTAGAGGGGGCACAGTCAGGGGCACAAGTAGAGGGGGCACAGTCAGGGGCACAAGTAGAGGGGGCACAGTCAGGGGCACAAGTAGAGGGGGCACAGTCAGGGCACAAGTAGGGGGCACAGTCAGAGGCAGCTGAGTGTGTGAACGTGGGCCTTCAACTGCCACATGCTTTGCGTATTGGCATCATCCCTGCTGGATCTACTGATTGCATCATTATGAGGTAGATATTGCACTCGGTATAACATCGCATTATCATGTGTAGCTATGCTGTGAAATGTGCCAGCACCGCATGCACACTTGGGTCACCGCTTGCCAGCCCACTCCCCAGCTGCCAATGCTCCTCAAATCCTCCCAATACCCACACTCCTACCAATACCACTCCGCCCATTACCCACATTCCTCCCCACACCAGTGTGACAGGATCTCGAGACCCTACGACTGCAGCGCTGCACGGGGTTCTGGGCCATCGCATGCCTCTGGATGTGGCGAGAATCCACTACGTGGAAGGAAGAGGAGCAGGCGGGGAAGCAAGGCGAGCAGTCAGAGGAGGAGAAAGAGGAAGAGGGGCAACGGAAAGAGGGGGAGCAGGCAGAGACGGGTGGAGAGATTGGGGGCAGTGGAGGCAGGGAGGAGGGGGGCGAAGGAGAAGCGGAGCTTGTGAGGGAGGGGTTTGCGGGTGGAGATGGAAGAGAGAAGGCTGGGGGAGCTGGGAGCGAAACAGAAGGGGCTAAGGCAAGACAGAAGAAGAGGAGGAGGATGAGGGTGTGGAGGTCCGCTATGCTGCCTCTTTCTTTGGGTGCGTGCATGTGGTGTGGTGTAATGTGGTGTGGTGTGATGTGGTGTGGTGTGGTTTGAGCTCAGGAGCGTTGCCTCTTCTTTAGTCACTTGTTGCTGCCAGCCCAGTTTTGTGCTCCTATATTCTTCCACTTTGTCTTTTTCCTTTGTCTTCTTCTGCTTCTGGTTCTCTTCCCTTTCCCCCACCCAGCTATGGATTCTACGGCGATGTGATTCGGCGAAGCGAGGGGCTCAGATGGATGGGGCCGGCGCGGTACGACTATGCTGGGCTCATGACATACCTGCACCACAGGTGAGTGCAGTGCGGTGAAGCGCGGTCCGGAGGGATGCAGCGTGTTAGCTAGCAGCCGCAGTGCAGTGCAAGGAGTGCTCAGATGGATGGGGCCAAGCGCTGTATGACGACGCTGGGCTCATGAGGTACCTGCACCACAGGTGGGTGCAGTGCGGCGAAGCGCGGTTGAGTTATATGTAATGTGGTTGCGAGATAGGCAATGCAAGTCAATCCAACTCTGCCTATGTCCTCCTCCCTGTTCGTCCACATTCAGCCTCCTTGGCCCAAATGTGGATATCCCATCCCTGTCCCTTATCCTCCTCTGCCTACCTCACCCCTTCCTCTACCTCTCCCTCCTCTTCTTATCCCATCCCTTCCTCTTCCCATCCCCGCCCTGCCTATTCCTTCCCCTCCACCCACCATCAGGTCATACGACTGCGGAGGTGTCCTACTCTGATGTGCACTCCTCTGCAGGGTGTTCTCCTTGACCCCACCCCCACCCATCCCACCTCGTCCTGCCCATACCCCATCAGGTCGTACGATGCGGAGGTGTCCTACTTTGACGTGCTTTCCTCTGCTGGGCCAGCCCCAGGAGCACCCTGTGAACAGCACAAGCAGGTGCACGGAGGCTCACCCCTCTCCCCCACCCCATCTCGCCCACCCACCATCAGATCGTACGATGCAGAGGTGTCATACTTCGACGTGCACTCCTCTGCTGGGCCAACCCCAGGAGCACCTGGTCAACCCAGAGTCAACTCCCTATCACACCCGTCCACCTCACCCACCATCAGGTCGTACAATGCCAAGGTGTCCTACTCTGACGTGCACTGCTCTGCTGGGTGTTCTCCTTGACCCCCACCCCCACCCCTTCCACTGTGTATCTTACACCAACCTCTCTCTATTCCGTCCCGCCCATCCACCCACCATCAGGTCATACGATGCTGAGGTGTCCTACTTTGACGTGCACCCCTCTGCTGGGTGTTCTCCTTGACCCCACCCCCACACCTTTCTGTTTATTCCCCCCCACCCCCACCCACCATCAGATCGTACGATGCTGAGGTGTCCTACTTTGACGTGCACCCCTCTGCTGGTCCAGCCCCAAGACCTGCAATCCAAGCGTCCCCTGTCCAGCGAGCAGGGTTGGAAGCATCTCCATCCACTGCAGCAGAGTCGGACGCATCTGCAGTCCAAGCAGCAGCAACGTTGGGAGAATCCCCATCCCAGGGCGTTCTCGCGCCCCTCTGCTGGCAGCAGCATCACCACTGGAAGCGGGGCCTGTGAGGGGTTTAGAGAGGAGCTTCACTGATCAGCTCCCTAGAACGCATGGTCTGGATGATGATGACGAGGAGGAAGAGGAGGAGGTTGGGGAGGTGGAGGACGGGGAGGAGAAGGTGGGAGAGGAGGTGGTGGAGGAGGACGGAGGGGTGGGGAGGAGAAGGGAAAGGAGAGGTAGAAGGGGGGTGGAGAGGGGAAGGTATTGGGTGGAGGGACGGAGAGGGGAAGGGAGAGGGGGAAGGGATGCCACTGCAGGCTGTGGAGTGGAACGGAAGGCTGCGGCGGCGCACCTTCAGCAGCCCATGCTGGTGAAGACACGGTGAGAGGGCGAGAGATGAAAGCCTAGAAAAGATAAGGTGCAGAAACGGCGGATAAAACACCATTACTGGAGGGCAGGCGCCCTCTTAGGTGTGTTACTGGAGGGCAGGCGCCTTCTTAGGTGTGTTACTGGAGGCGCCTGCCTAGGTGTGTTACTGGAGGCGCCTGCCTAGGTGTGTTACTGGAGGCGCCTGCCTAGGTGTGTTACCTGGAGGCGCCTGCCTAGGTGTGTTACTGGAGGCGCCTGCCTAGGTGTGTTACTGGAGGCGCCTGCCTGCCTAGGTGTGTTTTTTCAAGTGTCAACAATGAGTGAAAGGCTGCTTCACTGGGCTTTAAAGTGTGTGGTCTTGGATCAACAGCAGTGATCAATCCTGACTCATAAGTTTCCCTGTCTTTTCTTCCTTGTGCCTTTTCTTCCTGCATGGCTTCTATGTGCAGCAGAACCAGCACAAGCAGCAGGTGCAGTATCAGCAGCATGAGGCCGCAGCAGATTCCCAGACGTGTGCACTGCGGGATGCTCTGTGTGTGCCAGAAGCACTGACCTCTCCCAGCTTGCGAACGATTCAATCACAAACCTTCCCATTCTTTCTTCCTTGTGGTTCATGTGTGACCCCTATGTTCAGTACCGGCACAAGCAGCAGCAGCATCAGACGCGGCAGCATGAGGCGCAGCAGCTTCCCAGATGTGTGGCACTGCGGGATGCACTGTGTGCGCCAGCAGCACTGACCTCTCCCAACTCGCACGCGCCTCCCACAGCTCCTCACACACCGACACCGCATCACTCGACCTGGCCCAGATCTCTCACAGTCAATCGGGTGCTGCCACGTCAGCACCTGTGGGTGTAGCTGAGCAAAGAGGGGTTATTGCAGAAAGGAGGGCAGAGTGGAGAGGGTGTGTGTGCAGTGGGGGGGATGGAGAAGCAGAGTGAGGGGCTGAGGCCCTGTTGGAGGACGGGTGCGAGGAAAGTTCCACAGCGTGTGGGGGCGGCAGTGATGTCTTGTCGAACGACAAGGCGCCAGATGGCTTCGCGGCACAGGCCCACCTGGCGGACGGCAATCTACATCTCATCCTGATCCGCAAGTGCTCGCGCCCCGAGTACCTCCAGTAAGCTTGCACGCTTTTTTTTTCTCTCTCTTTATTGGCGATATTTGAAGGCGCCGTGTTGATGCTGCTCATGTCTAACGTCTGCCTGCGTTTACCTTTTATCTCCGTGTCTTGCTCCTCCCACCTCCCATGGCTCATTTCCCCAATGGCAGTCAGCTGACTCGCCTAGCCCGCAAAGGGGCCGACCCATTCGCCTTTGAATTTGTGGAGACATACAAGGTACGATGAACTGTTTCGTTTGCAAGCAGTTTTTTATAATGAATGACGGCAAAATCTTCCTACTTGTCCTCCAAGTTCCATTCCATCGCTCGCACCTTATCACATTCTTTCCCCTCCCGTCCAATTCCAACCCTGCCCTCTCCCATTCATCCCTGTGTCCGTACCCCATATGTTATTGTAACTAGACCCCCGCCTTCATGTTCACATCTCACGGGAAGCAAAGCACGTGGAATGTGGATGGGGAGTTGGTGGTCGCCTCGCAGCTCTCTGCTCAAGTCTTCCGCGGATTAGTCGACATATTTGCATCTGGACCCGAGTTTTGATTTGGCCGCGTAATGAATAGAACGATGTATATAGCTTCTCATGCTTGATAGGGCTATAAAATGATTTCACAGTACCGTAACGTGCTATCTTTCATATGCACATAGTGGTACGTTGAATTTCAGGCACTCTGTAAGGAAAAATCCTTTTTCTTGCTTCGCATCCCTGCTCAACGCGTACATCATTGTAGCACCACAGTCAGCACCGTTACCACTCGCAACCCTCGCATTGACAATCCGCCCGCCACCTTAGCACATCGCACCCCGACTTCACGGCTCGGTGGGTAACCCGCGCTCCGGGCCTCCGCTTCGACACTTTTCCCAACCTCGGTCCCAGCCCGTCGCGCGACAACCACAGTCCATTACCATTACCACTGTAGTTTCGCTATATATTCTTCGCTCATGCCTTCGCTCATTGTACTCTTGCTTCGATAGTGCAATTCTCGTTCGTTCACTCAATTGCACTCGTAACACTTGGTATTCAGAGCCTACGATCTCCTCTCGGACCGCACCCACACCTTCGCTTCCCCACTATCTCAATTTTTGGGGGGGGTAGACGTCTCTCAGCGACACAGCACCGCCGCTCGTAGTGCTCTCTCGTAAGCATGCACGGCCACGACCGAGGCTCTCGCTGAGCTCGCCGACACCCCCGCCATGGCCGAATTCACGCTCGCCACATTGACGCAGGAGCAGCTCGACCGTCTGGTGCGCCAACTTGAAGATTCGGCGCTCGAAATTGCGACGCTCACGGCGGAACGTGAACACTCCAAGCGCCACCACACGCACCGACAAATGCATCTGCACAATCAGACGAGCCGATCGTCATCTCGTCCGGCACACCAACACAAAACAACAGCGTGGGAGAGCGCTCAGGCGCAGCCAGCGATGGTGCCGCCCAGCCGATGCCTGGCATGGGAGGAAACAGGGTCGCATCAAGCCGCGGGAGCCTCGCGAAGCCCGTCGGCACGTGGAGTTCGCGGCGACAAGTGGCGAACAGACCATTACGGCACCAATGCCACTCAAGCCGCAACGCCCGCCTTGCTTCGACCTGAGCCAGCGTGGAGGTCCGACGGTTCAATCGTGGGTCTTCACGATGAACGTCTTCTTCGACGCGAATTACGTCGAGTCGGACGCAACGAAGATTCGGTATGCCGTTTCGCTGCTAAGGGGCCCCGCCATGGACTGGTGGCGAGTCATCATGACGTCGCCATGCGCCTACGAGCCACCGTCGCAAGAGGAAGGGCCCACGGGCCCAGCTGTCACCTGGAGTTCATTCTGCGAGACCGCCCAATACAGCACGTGGGATGCGTGGTGCGCAGGCT